TCAACAGGTTGAATCGATATCACTTTACAAATTCTATCTTTTATCGCTCATTAGATCGTATCAGCATAAGTCAATCTCTGTTGACATGTGCATAATATGATTTGACTGACAACGAGTCTACCAAGTATTCGACGAAATATCTTGGTGAATAAACTGAAAAGAAATACTAAGCGCCTCGCACCTTGTTTCTATCTAAAAAACTTGTATATAAAAACCCCCAATGTTCAAATTCTAGATCTGATATGGATATCATAACTCTAGAAGAACAGCAATGGTGAATCTTTTTATATATGACATCAAGTCAGCTGAGCTTAAACAAATGGGGATGCAAGTGATCGGAGTTTCCTGTTACGTGCCGGCCGGAAACTACGATTAGAACATCCGATTGTCGATTGATATTTCAAAACAGGACGATCGAAATACAAGGTGGACACCCCAAAAAGATAGCTCTGTCTCGAAGCTGCTTATTTCCTTACAAGGAAAGCCTCCAACTAAACGATACAAGGAAACATGACGATGAAACTGATCAAATGGAAATCCCCAAAGATTTCTTGAACTTTTCAACCTCCAAATATACTGTGGAATACGGGAGGAATTCTTGGAAATATTCTTTGCTTAGATCGTTTATGGCGATAGCGAGTTTCGGGATCTCCAAGGTCTCTTCATGTGTCAGAGTTCGGACAAACCTTGCCGGGTTTCCAGCCCAAAGTTCACCAGTCGGAATTCTCCTTCCCGGGGGAACCACAGATCCAGCTTCAAGGATAGCGTGGGTCTCCACCAAGGAACCTTCCATTAGGATCGAATGTTGCCCGATGATGCATTCTGGCTCAATTGTGCAGGACCGCAACAGACTGTATGCGCCAATAGTCACAAACCTCTCAATGGATGTCTCTGCTGGAAGTCCTGAGAAAGTGAAAGTGGTTGCGTATTATAAATTCAGAAAATCCCAGTAGATCAAATAGCAATAGATCCCTTACATTCCATGACAGACGTGATATGCACGTCGAGAAAACACATCAACAACAAATAACAATGATTTACAAGAGTCATAGTCACCTTCCAGGATGCACAAACAACCGATGTATTTTTAAAATGAAAGCATATGCTCTTTAAACAGAGCCAATGAAAAAGATAGACCAGATCATTATATTCATTAGAAGTTGACGTAAATTAAGGTTGGTCTCTGGATAGGACCAGGAACAATGTAGAGATCAGTGGAAACTCGGCCTAAAACGAACCAAGAAACACGATGCTCTATGGTTATATGCTAAATGTTAGAACATAAGGAAATTCCAAATTCTTGAATGAAGTGAATTTACACCCCAATTATAAACCTAAAGGTCAAAAAGTTTCAAGCAAGAGATGTTGCGAGATATAAGTTCAGGAATGACCAGATTCCCAGAAACACTCAGCTGTTTTAAAACATTAAATACAAATGGCAAAATAATCGATATTACCACTTTCTTACATATCACATTCTACTGATCTTATCCATCACTAATTATCGGAACCTGCTGTTCCTCACAAAGAAGAGAATTTCTATATTGTATAATACTTGACACCCATGCCTAGCATATTTCTCTAGCCATGAATTCAGGAAATGGAGAATGAACTAAGGATAGTCTAATAGATGTTGCACGGACACTCCGAAACCCCAAAGTGTCGGAGTGTTGGATACCCTGACACCCGACATGCCTCGGACACACCCCGGACACAGTTTGGACACGGTCCAGACACTTTTTGTAAATGTAAAGACATTTTGGGGCAATTCTGTAACTACTGAAATTTCTAAAACCTAAAAGTTTGCCAAACTCCTCTTCAGTCATCTCTCTCCAATTAGAGGCCGGAATCTTTACTAATGACGACAATTAAGTTCAAGAAGAAATAGAAAGAGAGACTTGAAGATCATTGAGACTTGAATCTTGTGTTGTTTAAATTATTATGTATGGTGAATGAATTTGATGAACATGGGTACTTTGTTATATTATAAATTATAATATATGTAATATTATTATAAATTTATTATATTTTAATCGATGTGTCCTAGTTGTGTCCCTGTCCTTATTTAAAGTGTCGGCATGTCACGTATCGCGTATTGCCGTATCTGTGTCCCTGTCCATGCAATATATAGGCCCCATATTTGAATAGAAACTCCAAATGGCAGCGGCAATTGCACACTACCTCTAGAAGAAAAAACTACACCCTGCGCACTTTTGTTTTTAAAAAAATACCCCTTCTATTTCTTTATGCCCATACTACTCAGATAATAGCCACATACTATTGCACAAGACGGTCCCTTTCTTCCGGTCGACAAAAGCACAATGGTTCTCAAAGAACAACAAAATCCAAGGAGGAAACGACTTTGATTCCCTTAACAATTTGTGCCATACGTTCAAAACAATAGTGATAAAGAATCAGATGGTATCCCAATGTCTACCATGTGCAATAATCCAAGTACAAATTTGCATCGCAAGATACTCCTTCCAAATCATGGCAGAAGGATTAAAACTACGAAATGATACCTCATCAATAACTACCTCAACAATGCTTGCATGAAACTAGGCTCAGTTCAGTGCAAATGGAGGCTCAAATGAGTTAGGGGTGAGGATTGGAGATCAGGAAGTACCAAAGAGTGACCGCTTTCGCTACCTAGGATCTGTCTTGCAAAAGAACAGAGAGTTGGATGGAGACCTCAACCATAGAATGCAAGCTGGATGGTTGAAGTGGAAGAGTGCATCCGGCATGCTGTGTGACCGTCGTATGCCATTGAAGCTTAAGGGAAAATTTTATAGGACGGCAATAAGGCCGATAATGCTTTATGGCATGGAATGTTGGGCGGTGAAGCATCTAACACGTACATAAAATAGGTGTAGCGGAGATGAGAATGCTTCGTTGGATGTGTGGGCACACGATAAAGGATAAGATTAGGAATGAGGATATCCAAAGTAAAGTAGGAGTAGCTGAAATTGAAGGAAAGATAAGAGAAAATCGGTTACGGTGGTTTGGACATGTGAAACGAAGGTCAACTGATGCTCTGGTGAGAAGATGCGATTACGAGACAGAAGTTTAGGGCCGAAGGGGTAGAGGAAGACCTAGGAAGACTTTGGAAGAGACCCTAAGAAAAGACTTAAGAGTACTTGGATCTAACCGAAGACGTGACACAGAACCGAGCGCAATGGCGTTTTAGGATTCATATAGCCGACCCCACTTAGTGGGAAAAGACTTTGTTGTTGTTGTTGTTGGTAAAGAAGAACACACGTAACTTCCAAATCATTCAAATTCTACAAAAACTAAACTCCAACCACTCAAATAGAGAGAGCAGACACATTGGTAGATAAGAAAAATCCGCACAAAGGAGACTTCAATCCATTTATCCTTCCAAACTAATTCTTTCCAAATCCCCAGAACTCGAAGATTGGGAAAGGAGGAAATAATGAGTAACAACCTGGTGAAATTTCTTCAAAGGGACATCAACTCGAGCTTCCAACCACTATATTACTACCTCACTATTGACACGATGCAATGACAATATGGAAACAGGAAACTTTTATTCTTTCAGAAAGAAGTCACCATCACCACTTCACTAAAGGAGTAATATTTTTATTTTGAATTGCCTACCCTACCGGACCCGAAAAACTAACAGCTTGTGAGTTACATTACACCTAGTGAAAGACCCAAATGCACTACAAAATTCCATTATCTACTTACAAAGTTCAATTTTTTCCTTCAAATTCTCAGCTAATTAACCTCAACAGCTTACCAAATACACAGCAGCTATACTCAGTGTAGCAATTCAGCTATTAACACACTTCAATTCGAATAATTAAAAACCAATTGTAGGATTAACAACAAATTAAGAAACCAAATGAAATATTTAAAGAAAAAGCTAGAAAGTTGGGGAACCTACCTGTTGGGGAAGACCAAGCGGCGTGGAGGACGCAGCGTTCCTGAACATTGGAGCAGAATCCGACGGTGATCTTATTGAGATCGCCGCGGAGGACCGACCCGGGCCAAACGGATGCTCCGTCGCAGACCGTGACCTGACCCGCCAAGACCACGTTGGGTGCCACGTAAGCGTCGACGGCGATCTTCGGGAGCCACTGGCCGAGTGGAATTATCCTTCTCTGACCTCTGTAGTCCCATTTGATCCGATCCGGCGAGGGTGTTATGGCCGCGGCTTTTGCTGCTTCGGCGGCGAAGGTGCGGTGGAAGGCGGATGGATGGGCTGAGCTGGAGAAGGAGGTTAGGGCTTTTCTGGAGACGCGAGCTATGGCTGCCATTGGGGGGTGGGGGTGAGAGAGGTGGTTTGGAGTGGGAGCTGGAAATCGAGGAGAGAATGGGTGGGGGAGTCGGTAGTGGGTTGGTTTAGATGTGGGCTGCAGATTGTGATGTGTGTATAATGGGCTCAAGCCCGGAAAATTTTATGCCCAAAAGCCCAACTATCATGGTCCAATCTAATTGGAATGAGAATCCTCTTGGATTCAACGATGAGCAATTTTCAGTCACGTGACGTAGTATTACCAGTTCATGTATTAATGTATGAATGAATGAAAAATGTTAATGTGTCATGGATATATAGTATAATGTTAATAAATAGATATGTGTATTATAACATGAATGAATTGATAATATCACGTGACGATGTAACAGTCACACTGAAAAACTTCGCATGAGTCATAACTTAAACGCTAATGTTAAAATTGAATCTATTACTTCAAAAATCAAATCGTGCTCATTTGTCTTTGGGAGGGCAATCCGAATTTGAATCTTTTAACATTTGGAAGAAAAATTTGTTAAATTAAGAGTTAGTTGATAAAAAAAAAGTGTGTGTTTTAATCTTAGCCGTTTACTACAGAATTTGGTTTGCTAGTTTACCTAGTTAATTCGTGCTTCTCTGATGTTCTTGTTCCTCTGAAATAAGAAGACAAAAATACGTACGTACGTAGCCAAAACAAATACAAAAAATATTATTTTTATCATTGTATGGCCAGAAACATATATGCATAACAACAATCCAAATCATCATATACATAAATTTATTTCCACAAACTCCACATAGCTCATACACAAGAAATTAGAAACTCAAGCTAGCTAGGTGCAAATATAATCTTAAGTATACATACACAACAGCAAAAGCTGAAGCTGCTGCAAGCAGGTAGCCTTTTCAAATCAGTTGGGCACTGGATGGTGCTGCTCAAAGATCATGTTGAAGAACCCTGAATTTCAAATTAGTTCACTGCCACACAGTAAGAGTATAATTGATCAACAGCAAGCTTAATTAGTGATAAACATTATTAACATAATAATAATTTTAACATATATATATATATATGTGTGTACATATTATATTTTGGGTTAATCTCAGTTTACTACCCTGAAGTTTCTTGGTTTTCAACATTTGGTACATGAAGTTTTTTTCATCCCAGAGTGGTACCTAAAGTCATAATTTTGAGACACTTTCATGCATCCGTTAAGGTTGTTGTTAAATCTGCCATTAAATGGTGACGTGGCGCTCGCCACGTGAATAATAACTGGACGCCAAATGTCAATATGGGCCACGTGAATATAAAAAAATTAGGCTAATCTTTATCCCGCTCCTCACCCACCCCACCTTCCCCTTCCCTAATACCCACTCGCCACCATCCCTTTTCCCCGTCACTTTCCCCAAAACCCCCAAACAACCCTTCCTCCCTTCTCTCTCCATTCCAAAATTCCACCATAACCCGTTTTTTTTGTCGAACCACCATAACCCATTTCATTGTAACAATCATTCTTCTAAACAAAAATTCCACCATAACCCATTTCACCAAATCACCAAATGAGTAGAAAAGAGACAAGAAAATCTTTAGAGAAACTTAAAACCTCAGGAAAAGATCTTGACTTATACATTGGATCAAATAGGTGAGATGCACAAACACCAAAAGGAAATCTCTACAGAAAAAATCACAATCTTGAACCCAGATGAGCACGTGGAAGAATAGGGATCAAACAGCCACTCGATTCCGTCGATCCTCGGCTGCATAATGAAATCAAACTTCTCTGGCAACGGGTCAGCCTGTGCATGCACCAAGCTCTCATCCAGATCAAGAAACTCCGTCATCTAGAGAAAGAAGGGAGGGAGGGTTGTTTGGGGGTTTTGGGGAAGGGGAAGGTGAAAAGGGATGGTGGCGGGTGGGTATTAGGGAAGGGGAAGGTGGGGTGGGTGAGGGGCAGGATAGAGATTTAACCCCTTTTTTTATTTTTTATTTATTTTTAATATTCACGTGGCTCTATATTGACACGTGACATCCAGTTATTGTCCATGTAGGCGCCATGTCACCATTTAACAACTTATTTAATATAAACTTTAACAGATGTATGAAAGTATCCTAAAATTATGACTTTAGATACCACTCTGAGATGAAAAAAAACTTTATGTATCAAATATTGAAAACCAAAAAACTTCAAAGTAGTAAACCGAAATTAATCCTTATATTTTTGTACCTTGGAAATGCACTAATGCGTGCATTTGCTCCCACAGAAGAAGTCGAGCAGGTGGCATCAGCAAAATTAAGCTCGTGCAACTTAATCTCAATTCAAAAGACAAATCAGCACATGTTAATCAAACGAAAGTGTCCAATTAATTAACTAAGCATTTCTATGATTCACCGCAATTTGCAATTAATTAACATAGGAAATTAGGGCAATATTTACTCACTCTTTTTAGCAGACGCGTGTTTTCTTCTTGCGATGCTTTATGCTGCAGCATATTATACAACTAAATTATAGAAACTTTGATATAAACCCAATTCACAAGCATGTCAAACCCTAATATAAACCCTACGAACTACTATTTCCGTACGTCCAAAGTAACAATTCATTTGAATTAATCGAAACAACTTAAGCAGGAAACTACGAGAGGGTTGTTACCTTTCTTTTCAGCAAGCTAACATTCTCCGAAATGATCCGTCTCTGTTAATTAATTAGATTAATCACAGATCAATTAAACCCTAGTTGTTATCAGTAACATATAAATTAAACCAGAAATATAATAATATCATATATACCATTTTAGAGCGGATGCGTTCAACCCCAGTTTTTAACTGTCTTTCCAGCTGCTTTAGCTCTTGCACGCCAAGCGTTGATAGCTCTTCCCCAGCCAAGTTCCTTCATATATATGTTCATAATACCATGTTAATTAATTTATAATTTGTTGAAATTTGAAATAAAACAACCACATATATATATATACACACACACGTCGCACAGGAAAAAAGTTGTAGTTGCTGCAAACCTACCTCAGCCTCATTTCCAACTTCCCTATTGATTTTCTTAACTCTTCATTTTCATTCCTCCAATACTGTCAAAAATATACAGCAGATCAAAGTAATTAGTTTAACATTGCAGAGACAAGAAATTGTGAAATATTCCACATTGATCATATCTCTGAAAAAAGAAGAGTTTAAATATCATAATCTCATTCCAACCAATACTGAAACCTTTTGTTATAAAATGTGAGTGATAATTAACAAGTTGGGAGACAATATCGAATATCGATGTTATTGGAAGTGACATAAAATTGAACTCTGATATAAAAGCTGTTTTTTCATGCTTTTGTAGGAGTGATTAATTACTAGCTAATTAGATATGAACTTTTATTTATTTGTTTGAGGGTGATGTCATCCGTACACTCATTTTTACCTCCCACGCACCTCTCTCAATTTCTAACCATCAGATTTAATGAATTGAAAAAAATCAAAAAACATAAATTAACAAAGAGTATTTAAGAGGTAAAAAGGAATGTATGGATAGCACCACCCTTTGTTTAATTAGCTTGGAGAAAAGATAAGAGTCATCTTATTTGAAAAGAATTAGGATGGACATATAGGAGCCCATTTGATCCATCAAAAGAAGAAAAACTTAAGGGCATGTTTAGTACTCTACTTGAATTCCACCTTTTAGACTCAAAAATATATTTTAAGTTTTACACCTTAAATACTCGTTTGGTAAGACTACTTAAAAAAAAAAGTGAACTCAAAACTAACTTAAAAATTAACCTACTTCTAAACAACACAAAAAGAGAGTTTTTAAAGATTTTAAACTCCAAACCCACTATTTTCTCTCTCCTCTCCTATCTTCCAATCTTTTTCTGCTAGCTCTCTATCTTTATCCTGTTTTTCTCTCTCCTCCCTTCCGAACATCTCTCCTATTTCTCTCTCATCTCTATGCTCTTCTCTCCCTGTCCTTCGACCTTCTCTTTGGATCTATATGTCTATCCAATTGAATCTAGTAGTAATTCCTGGATCCATAGGGAGTTGTTGTAGAGTTTTTTTGTTCCTTTTCTTTTTAATTATTAAAATTTTATAAACAATTTGAATCTTATGCCAAACCAATTTTTGGATCTTAAATAAAACTTTTCTTAAAAGCATTGTTCTAAAAATCCCCACCTAGCACCGCCTAGGCGCTAGGCAGCTGACCAGTGCCTCAATTAATCCCTGGGCGTTTAAAAATTAAGAAATGATGCCTAGGATCTCTTAGCCGCCGAAGCACTCACTTAGGTCACAACTCTCCCTTAGACAAAAAATAGATAACTTTAATTTTGTATTATATATTTTTAATAAATTGTTAGCGAATTGTTGAATATGTGGATGAACACTCATTATATTTTGGTTCCCCATGTTTTCAATATTTTCTAATACTTTCATATATGTCATTCTATTTTTTTAATTTATGCATCTCATTACAATTATGCATTTTTTAAGTATAAACATGCACTTATTTATACAATAAATAATAAGTTTACTTAAATTCGCCTAGTCTGCCTAGGCCCTGTCTAGCTACCTAGGCACTAGGCCCAAGTCTTGCTACCTAGGCACTAGGCCCAAGTCTTGCTACCTAGGCACTAGGCCCAAGTCTTCTGCCTGACTAGCGGCTAACGTCTATTAGAACCTTGCTTAAAAGATGTTCTTAAGAAATGTTTTGAAAATTATGAATTTTGTTTTAATACGACACCAAATATGCCCAATGGATATGGACTATATTTCTGTATATATTATAATCATTTTATTATTTACTATTACTCCATAGTTCACACTCTTGTTAGTGTCACTGTCACCCATGTTATAATACATAAGCGTATTTATTTCTTAATTGTTAATACTTTAGGTCATGAAATATCAATTTTGACGTTCAATTATTTTATATCACGTAAATTAATAACATTATGTTTAGATATAAGCATTGGACCGAAAAAAAAATTCCACCGAAAAGAGCAATACATAAATATATTGTATATATACCTCCATTGTTCTGGCCCTTCCGAAGCTTGAGTTGTTGGATTCAGGCAACCCTACTTCCCTTTTATACATGGAAATGGTCCTAGTTATGCTGCATCACACGTTACCATAACCAATTATTATTGGGAAAGATCATCATCAAACCTAGCTAGCTAGTTTAATTACTTGTTAATTAAACGTACTCGTGGCTTGCAAATTGGTAGGACTTGCCAGATGGAGAGAAGATGATGAGGCCAACTTCAGCATCGCAGAGGACAGAGAGCTCAAAAGCCTTCTTCAGAAGTCCATTTCTGCGTTTTGAGAAGGTGACCTGTCTGCTTGTTGGGTTCTCGATTCTCTTCAGCTCCACTTTCCCCCTGCCCATATTTACTAATACCTTATTATATTTGTCCACTGTAACTTACTCACCGTTCCATACTACATATATAGAAGAATATCGATGTTAATCTGTAGTTAATTAGGAGATTGATTCGTGATTAGCTCATGAAGGTGCTGGTTAATAATATTTGGACTTTTGACAAGACGTCACTACCAAATTCCCCTTTTGCAATCATCCCACTCGAATTTCATTATTATTGTCTTGTAGGAACTGTTATTAGCATTCCAACAACTTTATTCTACACTTCTTAATTACAAGTGTATTTTTCTTTCTAATTATAGAAAATTTGAAGTGCAAAATGAGAGATTTGAAGTACCAGTAACAATTTCCTAAAAAATTTGAATCTCTTCCGACTTTATGTCAATAGATATTAGATGACCACATGATGTGTTACTAACATCACCTATTTTGATTACATATCTACCGTATCGTGTAAGCTAACTAGCTAATATTGTGATTTAAGAGTGCAACCTCTCTAAATAAAGATGTGATCAACAATACAGTAAGTAATTAAACGCGTAATAAAAATTGGGTGCATTGTTATTCATCACCCTTAAGTGATGTTAATGATCAGTACCCTAAACTTATCTAACGATAATAAATAAAACGATGGACAAAAATATTCGGTAACAATTTCTTCACTAACACACACACACACACACATATATATATATATATATATAAATTGCATGTTGAGATTTTACTAATCACTAATTGACACGTGAAACATAGTACTTGTGATCAACAATACAGTAAGTAATTAAACGCGTAATAACAATTTTTAGGTGCATTGTTATTCATCACCCTTAAGTGATGTTAATGATCAGTTTTCTAAACTTATCTAAAGATAATAAATAAAATGATGGACAAAAATATTCGGTAACAATTTCTTCACTAACACACACACACATATATATATATATATATATATATTGCATGTTGAGATTTTACTAATCACTAATTGACACGTGAAACATAGTACTTACAAATATTAAAAAGGGGGATGAGACATACATGGGTTGTAAAATCAAAAGTTTGTGAAACCCATCAATACCTTTTGAATAAAATGAGAGGTAAAAAACTTTTGTTGGGTTTACAGGAAAATGTGGGTGACAAAGCGTCAAATTATGGATTATTATTAGGGGAGATTTATGGACATGTTCAGACAAGATTGGAGTTGTGCCTCAATGGTGGTCCACACCACTATGATGGTGATGGACTTAAACCCAGTAGCGAAAGTGGAGGAGAGAAAAGAGGTGGACTTAAAACCTAGGAGTGCAAAAGAGATCGACTTATTATTATCATTGGGTGGAAGACTCAAGAGAGAAAAGAGGGAATCTTAGAGTCTTCAAAATTTAATCTAATATTATTATTTAAAGATGGGAGAGTTGAAAAGTATTATAAACATTTAAGAACGAGGGAGTTTCGAATCGGGGTTGCATAAGTGAAAATTTATCATTTTATCTACTAGAATATTAGAACACATACAATTCAATATTTAATTAAGAATAATGTTATGGAAATCAAATTCTACCTTATTTACAAACCAAGTAATGTGTCATCAATATGAAATAAGCATTTTAATCAATACTTAAGTAATAACTCAATCATCAACAATCACATCATTCGGTTTACAAAATTTAGTTTAAAAATTTGGCCTACCTAATATTACCCTTTAGTTACATACCTAGTTGAGTGTTTGAGACGTAACAAGTTTTGTCTAAAAAATAGATATCTCTTCTCTTGGTACGTGTCCATGTTTAATATGTTTTAAAGCACTTTATGCAAAACTTTTATTTTAAATGTAAAAGAACACTATCAACAAGGCCTCTTAAACGAAGTTAGACTCCAACTCGCAACTCACAGACTTAAAGTGAAATCCAAACCATAAAATTCTCAAGTGACCAATAGCTCATTTATCAATCACTTTGTGTATTTTAATTGCTCATCTAGTCATAACATGTGATTTAAGAGAGAAATGCCGACATGTCTCTCATATTTTCCTTTCCATGTCTCTTCCCTCAGCTGACCAATAATCAAATCAAAAGCTTTACTATTTTCTTGTATCGTTCTTTCTAACAATTAATCGAACGTGGTTTAACGCCTTTTCGTGTTACCCTACAAGTTTAACCATTTGGCTAAATTAGATTAATTATTCCCATGGTAACAGGGTAAGCTAAAGACAGCTTCATGGTAAAAAAATTCGGATTTAAACTCTGGTAGTGAAGTTTATTAGGATTCAAGCACAAATTAATATTTCTATAAGTCTCGTTCACATTCCCACCCCAACCACCCCATCTTTTTTCCAGATTGCTTACCTGCTTCTCTGCATCCCCTCCCTCCCCCTCTCTTTTTCTCTCTCTAGACATTCGACCTGCCTCCTCCTCCCTCTCTCTCTCTCTCTAGCTTTTCAGCTTCCCTTCGTTGTTCGTATCATTGTTAATGAGCAAATCCCCAGAAACAAACCTTTGAGATATGCCTGCTACTCTATTCATCTTTCTTGGTTTTAGTTCTTGCAAAATTAACAAACAAGCAGTTCAATTAAAGTTCCACGTAAGAAAGAATAACTAAGATTTTCAGTGATACTTGGATTGGCTAGTGCTGAAATAAAAAAATCCAGTCGAACTGATGGACAAAAGAGTTTTGAATGAAATCGAAATTGAAGCATGGAGCAAAGAATTCATAGCCTTGGATGAATGAGATTTTTTTTTTTTCCTTTTTGGTTATGAAGACGGAATGGGTTAACGGATAAATAACGGAAATGTTAAATTGAGCATGAATTCTAACAGACTTCACCACGAAGGTTTAAATTCAAATTTTTTACCACAAGAACTATCTTCTGATTACCTATCACTATAAGGACCATTAATCCAATTCATCCCGAGCATTTTTATTGCTTGGGGTAAGCTCAAGTTGAAATAGATATTGACACATTTTAATAAAAAGTCTGCTAACCATGTTTGGAGTGATTAACTTTTGCTCTTCATTTTTTTCTATATTTTCCAAAGAACAGGATCAAGAGACAAATGTTTTGACAAATTTTTTTTTACATTTAGCCATTTTAGATTTTTCAACGGCCAATGACTTATTCAGAGTGACGTGGAGGCTTTTAGTCATTAAATGACATGAACAATGACACAGATTATAACTAATATAATAAATAATAAAGATTAAAACTTAAAATGAATAAAAACTGTGATTAATCGTATCATGTTGAGTAGTTTCTTGTTTGCTATTTAATGGTTGCAAAAAATTGGCTACTCAGTATTATAGTCTGGTGGTATTCCTCTTCACTTGTAAGTGAGAGGTCTTAGTTCTGAAGATGAACTATTCCCTCTCCCCAATGTAAAATATATCGTTGTACTCATAAAAAAATGATTGCAAAAAATTAAAGTTGGGAGGAAAACAGAAGTGTTAAACTCTGCAAATAGTTTATATTCTTGTTTGGATTTCATATTAGCCCTGTTTTTATTTTCATCGCAGACAAATAATATTTATATAGCCTACGTTAAGAAGTATTCACTGCATCAAAGACAAAGATGAATTTCGTCAATGGCATTGCAGACCTTTTTGTTGGTGTTGGAGAGTTGCTAACCTAAACGACAAAGGGGGAAGATGGAGGCTAGATCTATTTTAACTTCACAAAATTCCCTTATCAAAATATTTTATTTGACGGTTATTTTCATTGTCACATCATTTAGTACTCATCTTAACTTTTAATTAAAAGCGTTAAATGTAAATAGATCCAAGGGCTTATAAAGTGTAGTATTATTTGACAAATGTTTGTCCTTTGATCTTATCTCATATCCCAATACCTTATTTTATGAGTGCTACTATGTCCACTCATAGTCTTATATTTTTCCAATCAACTTGTATTGCTAAAATATCCCTAACAATTTTAAGTCCTAAATAAAATAAATATAAAGGATGATTGAATATTGAAGATTTTACAAAAATGGATAAGCCATGAACATCCCCGTACAACCCAGTTGAAAGCAATCACAACTAGACACCACATATGATGGCGGCAACTCCTTTTCTCTTTGCCGCTAAGAAAGTTATCTTCCTTTCTTTTTCTTCTCCTTTTTATGTTCCCCTCTATCCTTTTCTTTCTCCCTCTACCAGATCTAAATTTAAGATTCATATCTATTTATTATTGAATTTCAATTTAGAATTAAGGATTGAAAAGTAGGGAGAAAAGAAGAGGTAGATTTTTTTTTTTTTTTTTTGGGGGGGGGCGGGGGGGGGGGGGGGGTGGGGGGGGAGGGGGAGGGGACAGAAGAGAGAGAAGATGGAGGGAGACTAAAGAATTGGAAAGAGTTGAGTGATTGAGAGACAAAATGGAAAGGTTTGATTCGTTTCTCATTTTAAGTTTTTTTTTTTTTTTTTAACATAGAATATATAAGAGGATTAATTTTTAACAGAGTTTTTTAAGTCTGCTTACATAATGTTTAATTTGATATTAGAATTTTCATTCAAACGTGAGCGAAAAAAATAAGACTATGAAATGAGCATATCAGCACTTTTTTTTATTTACATTTAGAGGTAAATGTATATTTTTACGTTTATTTTTTTGCCGTAGTATGCAAGGTGAAGGTTTTATAAATCATTTCACTTACGAGTCTCATGCAATTTTACACCAATTCTAACTTGCAAGGGCCCAAGGGATTGAAAAAGGACCAACGGAGTCTGAAACAACTCAATGGCGAGTGACCCAAATCCTTGTACCCCATGAATAATTTTCCACCCGGCCCGCTTTAGACAACATTTACCTTGGGTTTGCCCAAAGGAATAGGATTCTTTGTACTCTTATTCTCCTTCCCTGTCCTCGTCTCCTTGCCTTACACATTTTCCATTTTTGTGTGTTTCTCTCTATAAAAAAAAAATAATAATAATAATATAAGATGTTGACGTAGCTTAATTCTGATATTTTAAATAGGAGGAATGGGGAGAGAAAAACAGAGGGGAGAGAATCCTACTCCTTGCCGAAATGTTGTTTTACCCCTATTTGTCATGCGATTGTCAATTTACCTACCAATACGTGATAGTTTAGAGATAAAACGACAATTTGCTGTTCACATAACGTTACCTCTTAATTGTCACACGATTGTCAGTTTACCATGCACTTAATTAGGAAGTGCACTTTTGGTCACCACCCTATTTATTGCCATTATATGAGTTTAAATTTTAAAATTTGTGTCTATTCGTTACACAGATTTCAAAGTTTAAACTCATTTAACGACGATAAATAGAATGATGAGCATCACCATCACTTGAGCGTGGTGAGCAAAAATATTCCTCTTATTTATGTCTCACACTGTACCAAAATATCCTACATGTGATGGGTTAGAGGTAAAATGACAATTTACATTTGACTTATGTAAAATTCAAATTACTATCATAACATGATGTAAATGCGAACTTATCTGTTGAAATAGACTAAGGATTTTCTCATGAACCCCAATAAAATGAAACTTTATGGGGAGCATCTTTGCTTGTCATCTTAAATTATGGTGTATACACATCATACATCTCATTATTCACCACGTACCATTTCACCTAATCACTGTCAACTTTCATATTAAATGTTCATTTTTAAATTTTGAAAGAAAAAAAAATCATGATTAGATAAAAAGACACGTGACGAATAATGAAACGTACAATGAAATACACCAAAGTTATCGCAAGTGTCCCGTGTTATAAAATTACCCCCAGGTATCCATGGTATATTTTCTAAGTCGCGTCAACGGTTATAAGAGAGTACCTCTCCAGATCCAGAGTGTATTGAACTCTCTCATAAATGTGGGTAAAGCCCCCAAGTAAACGTCAATAGCAATTTATTATAATTTAGGAGCATGAGCATATAAAAATGCATCAAGTATCCATCCATCCATTCATTTCAACCCCAACAATGCTTCTAAGTTCTACTTCTATGTTCATCGTCATTCGAATTTAAAACCTCTTTCAAAACATTTCTTTTAGCAAACCCTCACTCAAAATATTTTGAAAGAAAAATCCGCTAGACTAAGAGCCAGTTGGTTCAAAATGCGTATAAAACACACAAAGCTTGATGATTAAATACAAAGAAACAAGATCAATACCAAATCAACCATAGATTATAATAGACAAGCTAATTACACAATTAATACAAGATTAAAATTATAATTGAGTGCACACACTTTATTAATCTAATCACTCACTCATACAAATAAATAAATTTTTTTAAAAAAAACAGCTTAATCAGCATCAGTATAGATGTGAACTCCAATGGCAATAAGGAAGATGGTGATGAGGCCAAAGTAGATGACTGCGTGTACCAGAATGGAAGCGCCGCTGGTCTCCATGTTCCCGAACTCCACCAACCTCCCATGTCCGGGTATCTGAAACAAAAGCCCGGGTGTCAATAGCACAAACAGCATCACCGCTATCACCACCGGACCCCAGTCTGCCATTTTTGCCCCTGCTCTCCTCTGCAAAACCAGAACAACGACGAGGAGAAGAAGGATAAAGTAAAAGATGGGTTTCGAAGATCTGAGAGGAAGGTGGGTGGGTTTTGGAAGTTTTTGAAGAAATTTGAGGGTGGGAACATAAATGCACTGGCAGGCACCATGTGTTTTTCTCGTGAAAATGGACGAGTAAGGATCTTGACTGTTGGATTTCGACGGCCGTGATCTTCTTGAGGAGGATGAGGATGAAAAAAGTTGGCGACCATTTTACTGGGACTAATAATTTGTTCCACTAAATTCATCAAATCACCTGATTCGTGCTATTGAAATATTAAAATTATTATAACTTTTAAAAAGGAGTTTTACATTTGTAGTGGTTAGATCAAATTTTAAAAATCTAAATTTATTAATTTGATGAATTTGATGGAATGAATCGGGTGAAGGTCTCTTTCCTTATCTGTGCTTTTAAATTTTACAAAGTAAATTGCTTTTTTAGAATTTGTCGTCACACGGCATATTGGTACACATTTCTGGACAAAAGAAATTAATGTCAATCAATTTTAGGAGTGGGCATGTCCACCAATTTTTGAGGTTAGAGGAGATTTTTTTTATGTTTTCGGTACACAAAGACGTACGTTATATATTATTATACAAATGAAAAAAAATTTCTTTTTCAAGTATCTTTTCACTTATATAATAATATATAATGTATGTGTCAATATACCACTTACACTAAATGATATCTCGAGGTTTAGATCATAAAAAGTGTTTTTTTTGTTTAAAAATTGGGTTGAACAAAGTAAAAGATTGTCCAGTTATTATTTTTGGGTGTAAACAGAATCGTCCAATACAAAACACCTTAATCAAAATTTTAAAAAATCATAATTTAAAATATTTCTTTTTTTTTTTAATTTAACAAATCTATTGTTTGATAAAAAAAATAAAAAATGAAAAAACCTATGCCCTAGTAGACTCGTATGTTCGGATTTACCCCTTTCCTTGTTAGGAAAACAAAAAACAAAAAAAACAAAAAAGTGTTTCGTTTTTGTTAATTTTACTTTTGAATTGGGTATTTAGGCTTGCCTTGACGTGTGCATACAAGTTGGGTCTTGACCTAATAACGGTTTATGATCCAACGATAGTTCTACTTTCTGTTTAAAAATAAATAAATAAAATGAAGTTTTAACGAAAAGCCCATGGTACTGCTCATTTTAACGAAAAATCACATTTTTACACTAAAAAGTCAACCCTGGTACTATTCACTTTACCCTTTATTTTGTCTTTATAGTTAAAACTCAAAGTTTTCAAACCATTTTCATTAGTTTTCCTTAAATAAAACTCCCCACTTCCTCTTCACTTACAAGCAAGATGTCTTAAGTTCAAATCTCGTGAATGGCGAATTCGATATCAAATTAGGTTGCCTGTTGTGTGGCTTAACCGAACTCACTCCTCCCCTTAATGTAAAATATATCGTTGTATTAAAAAAAATTAAAAATTAAAAAATTGTGCCCATTTGAAAGATTCAACTACAAAATCAATTAGCAATATAAGGAGTAACTCAACTACTTATAAATTCATGCAAAGTATCTTCTCTTATCGATGTGAAATTCATTCTCAATAGAGCATCACCATTGACTAAATAAAAAATCTATCATTTAGTAGAAAAATAAAGATTAATTAAGATTGGCCGTTTTTCTATCATAAGGAGTTCACATAAAAATATTTACGATCTAATAATATTCTTCTACTCATTTACTCCTTAGTCTAAAGGTCTAAATATATCACTGTGTACAAATATATAACTTTGTTTTCTGCCTCATTTTCTTACCAATATTTCTTCTTAACTAACGGTGCTCTATGGATTTATAGCTTAATTTGAGCATTTGCATCTCAAATCTTGGCTTAAAATGCATAGTAAAAGAAAGAAAACTAAGGCTAACCAGTTCAACTCCAATCAAGACATGAACAAGAAATTCCAAATCAAGAGAAAGTAAAATTTTGAAGATACACAAATACTGAGGAGGAAAAATGAAAGAAAAATATAATATGAAATGCCGGTCTCTATACAACTTGTTGATTTTTCGTTAAAACTCAAGGCCAGCAGGTCTTGAGCTCGACTAGCACCCGGATGAATCAGCCTGTGTGGATTTGGACTCCCACTGCCAAAATGAGGATGGTGAAGATGCCAAAGAAAATAAGAGTGTGAACCAAAATTGCTTTGCCATTTGTGGTGAAGCTTCCAAACTCTACATGCCTGGAATTTCCTGGTATTTGGAACAATAGGCCAGGAGAGAGCAGTATGAACAACAACCACCCCATTAAAATTGGTGCCCAATCTAACATTTTTGTTACGTGCTTGTTGAAATAATTGGTAAAATGAAATTTGAATACTCTAATCCACAGGAACATGAGTTTTATACAACACGTTTTAAAGAAAAGTGGATTCCTATGAACAATTTAAGCTCCAATCATGCTAGCTTTAACCCTTTAATTCTCTTTTATTTTTTGTTGGAATTTCATTCATAAATGCTATCTATTCTCGACGCTCTAAAATAAGCACAGCTATCCCGATCTGGCTTTTCAGGCTAACCATTTAAGGATGTCATTCTGTACTTTATATGTGTAAAAATACAAAACAAAACTTTTATAAAATTCAGTGCATAATGACATTTTTCAGGTGCGATAACATCCACTAATCCACGTAAATTTCGCTATTGCTTTTCGTAATGATTAATTTGGTTTCAAGATCATGACAGGTTGCAGGATAGTATAGCATATCCAAATAAATCCAAAGCCTCCTGAGGTAAATAATTAGGGCATCTTTTGCTTTTATACATTTCAGTTTTTGAATTATAAATCCAACACCACTACATTCTTGTAGGGAAGTTATATATAGAATCTTGAACATTAAGGGCAAAATTCGCACGCAATGGGCCTTTTCTTTTCTATAAACAAATGCATCATTGATGCTTTGCACAAACCTTACCATTAGAATTTAGAATCTGATTATCAAATCATAATTTGTTAATAGTTGTGTTATCCATACACCCATTTTAAATATTTCATACTCTCTTTTTTCGACCGATGAATTGAAAATTATTAAAAGACAAATATTAATAGGAGATGTGTGGATAGCATCACCCTTCGCTAAAAGTCCTAACTTGTTTTTAGTTAGTACAAAATTGACTTCATAATCCAGTAAATAATGTCTTCAACTAACCACAATCATAAATAGGCAATATAAATCTTTTGCATAAAATCAATAGACTTAGTTAAGAACATTGTCGATGCAAATTTCCGCCGTCTCTTACTTTGACCAAAATGCACCTGCAAAATAATCAACACATTTGAACAAAGATCTAAGCCTTATGCGCCCACGAGGTGGGGGATTTGGCTAATGGATCTCTGATACCTAAGGTAATTTCTCTAAAAAGAGTATTGTTTAGAGCTTTTATGGCTAGCAAAAGTTTACCGAAATTTGGTAGAATTGGAGATATATATAGGGGGAGAAAGCCAGCCATAGTGTTAGGGTTTTACCTTGCACATGGCGGCATCTTATTGCCCAATGTTTATGGAGATAATATTCTCAAGATATTAAATAGGAAATAATATCTTGAGATAATAGTGTAAATATTCTCTAATATCTTGATATATTGGCCAATGGTTATGGAGATATTAAATTGGGAATATTATCAAGATATTAAATAGGAAATAATATCTTGAGATATAATGGCGTAAATATCTTTAATTGATTTAAATAGGGATTACTTACTTGAATGTAGTCAATCTTCAATTGGGAATGTATTACAGATAGGATTTGGATAATTAATTCTTATGTTTAATATTTTTATTTTTACTTTTCCTTGCCATGGGCAGATGAGATGTGGGTAGTCGTATTCAGTTGCTTGGATCTTCAAGGGTGCTAAGCTGTGCGTGGGATTATTTGATAAGCTTGCCCATTTAATGAGGGCAATTATGTTTTTCTTGAGCAAAAGTTCACATGTCGCCTCTAGGATTTTTGAGATTATTTTAGACTCCACAAACATGCTTTATTGCTGAAGGAAGAGCAGCAAGTTTTGATAAAAAAAAAAACTAATTAAAAATGGACACGTGTCCATTTGTTTTTAGTGATGTTGATTCGAGTTTTCAATTTTTTACTTGTTTGACCACGTATTCATTTGTAATTGACAACTTGTCTATTTCAGCACGATTTGCTGTTCTTCTTTCAACAATCAAGCATTAGTCCTTAGTTCAACTAAACACCACAAACAAAAAAATAATGACTTGAAACAACAAACTCTCTATGAACAGGCGCGAACCGGTGTAAAGGCATGAAATGGTGGCCTTGATCCCAAGCCTCAAGCGCGCATGTTTTCAATTCTTCTTAAACTTACAATAATTTATGTTTAATAGATTAGAAGATTTAAAAAAACGATATTTTGCATCTAACTTCGCCACATAACAATTAGATTGAGTTGCTGCAATTTATTACGCGAGAACATAAAGATTACCATTTTGCATAAATAGATTTTCTAGTGTAACATATCCTGTAAGATTATTAAGTATAACATGGTATTTAGTAAAAATGTAGGATCAATGTCATAGTTGAACATAACCAAGCATACCAAGTAGTTAAGGGCGTGCTTATTCACTTTTTAGGCATGAGAATGATGCTTAGTTGTTCATGTATGAGGTAAACAACCATCTTAATATTGATACGTGGTTAAAATTAAGTATGACACATTAATTTTATGCGAGATCCACTTATATTTTCATTCCTTAATCCTTAGGCATTAATAAATTCACAATACGTTAAGATTGGGATGAAAACACATACTTCACGAGCCTAAACTGGAGGCTCGTAACTAAAGTACAAGTGCTTTCTAAATAAAACAAGGTTTTTTTTCATTACAAATAATATGACTATTCTATGCTACCAGACCGCATTTAAACTCGACACTCAATTAAAAAAGGCTTAATTGGATTAATAGTTCTCGTGGTGATATAATAGTTGGAAGATAGCCCTTATGGTAAATAAAACTAGGATTTAAGTCTCTGTGATAAAGTCTGTTAGAATTTATGCCAAAAATTAAAAAATTCCGTTAACTCTTTGTTAATTGTTAGCACACGAAGCTCACATATGAGAC